GAATGTGCCACTTCGATGTGTCTAGGCCTATGTGCAGTGTATTTGCAAGATGAATGGTGGCTGACCGTGTGCGTTCACGCTGAATCCAAGCGAGCGAATAACGGGGACGTGTATACCAATTGTCTCCTTGATTGACAGCGCCACCATAGGATCTGTGTGTGCCTCATTGCTGCAACACGGCCTTGTGAAGTGTTGTGTGTGTGCCGCGAAATTACTACTACAGGTCGCCCCAAGCTGCCCACCACCGGAGCACAAACTGCTGAAGAATTTCGAGATGGCAAAGAAAATAGCACTCTTCATAGCTGGCTCAGATTCAGGTCTGGCTACTGTAGGTGCCTAATGAGTTTTATTCAGATGGTTTGTGGAAGCTTTATCACGAGTGGTACTGGTCAGAACCGTTCGTACTAGACCAATATGCCTTGGGTCTCTTCTGTATCAGCAAAACGATATATTTTGAAAGGACTCGTCGGAGAAAACGCATTTTTTCCACGCCCCCGAACAGGGAGGAAGCTGGATCCCGGCGCTAGCTTGAATGCGACTTCGATCGCTGCGAAGTCGCCGCGCACGGCAACGGCCTGTACCGCGGTTGGGCCACCAGCTTCGCGTGGAGGAGACAGCGTAGCTCGGCGCAACATCATCACAAATAGCAACGGCACAACCATCCGGAGCACTGATCTGTGCCAAGGGCATCATGGTGAGGTAAATGCGATGAAGAAATGCACAGAGGTCGCTCGGCAGGAGCAAGTACCCTTGTCCGCATGTTCGTTGCCATCCACACAAGATGCCGGAATCAACAAGCAGGATAGCTCCGCAGAAGTGAACAAGAAAGTCAGAGACTATTCTACTAGTTCTGCAAGTGGCACAACAGTCTTCGTGCGATCAGAGAAGTGGGGTATGCGACATCAGGAATGGGCACAGGAGCCTTGCGGAACGGCCGAGGACGGCTGCTTCCTTGGCACCAATCCGATAGCCGTAACGGGGTGCAAGCATCATAGCACGGCCGTTGCCGATGCGGCTCCAGCCTGCAAGCGAGAGCCGATCAGACGAGCATGGGATAGACGAAGCACCGCCTGGACCGCCGGAGGGAATATTACATACGTTGCCCGCGAAGAAGGTTGCATGGAACCCCTCACGGTTGCGCCTGGCAGGGATCGAGGCGCAGGACAAGGGCCGAAGGAAGGCGGCGAAGGGAGGAAAGGAGCGCCTCCGGATTGCTCGCGCTTGGCTATGCCGCGGGCGGTTGTTTCCCGTGAGGAACTGTTCCCTCGTGTGGACGACGTTTCCTCGGCGGGTTGGAAGATCTTGAACCCACCCGCTATCAACCGAACCCTGGACCCGTGCAACAGCCCCCGGCGGCCGTCTCACGGACGAGACCCTTGTTGGCCATCGCAAGCAGCACCTGATAGTGCTGACAATATCCCGGTACCAGAAAGGAGAAGAAGAAGAGCACCAGCCACCGTTGCCACCAAGAGAGGGAATAGCGCACGGGCATCAGCGGCATCAACGCCGGGAACGGCAGTTCGAGTGCCGCAGCCTTTGTCGGTCGTGGCGGTCTGGGCAAGGGCTTGTCCCTCTTGGCAAAGCAAGCTGTCGAAGGCAAAACAAGGGTCATCCGATGTTGTTGAAAGCAATCCAATAGCGGCGGGTGGACATTCTGATGTTAGCGTCATAGAAGAGCGTCCCACCATCGACCGTGACCGCGGAGTTCGTTCAAGTCCTCCACGCTCTGCACCGAGAGGGTGTCATCACGCTGCGACGACAAATGCGTTGTCAACTCGACCTCGCGGTGCTTTAGTATCCTCGAGGTGGGCCACGCGTCGTTGTACTGCGAGGCGCATTGAAAATACCGTGCGGCGGGCTTCTTGCGCTAGATTTGTCACAAATAACATGTCATGCTTCATTGGTGTTTTTTTTTTGTTTCCTACGTAGGGGGCACTAGCCAGCGCTGCACACCGTCAATCGCGACGGCCTACGTGAACGCCGGCAAACAGTCAGCGATTGAACATGTCCACCATATTTTCCACCGTGCCCCACCCTTCCCGGCCATTCTTCACCCATGTAGCGGGGCGTGAAACACGGCACCGAAAATTGTAGACCATTGCTGTGTACGCACTGTTGGACCGATATCGGCTTCAACGCCGTGATTCTTGCTTCTTTGCCGTCCCCTGTGGATGCCGTTCTCCACAGGCAAAGTATTGTCCCTGCAAAGCCGCCGGCGCCTCGAACGGGCGCAACGCGCGGGTCAAGGCCACAGTCGGCCGGTCTGCTGTACTTTCGAGCACACCTGCAACGACCGAGCGAGTGTGGTGACAACGCGTGGGGCGGCGAAACGCCGGTAGGGGTACGGCCGGTGAGAGGACCGAGAAATGGTGAGCTTGCCGCCGACCCGATCCTCGAGAGCGACTCTCGTTTCTCAGTTGGACGAGCGAAGAAACCTACTAGAGGGACTGCAAATACAGAAAATGTCACAGCTAGCTCGCTGGAAACTGTCGGTAAGGCAACGGGTTTAGCACACTCGGTGGCGACGGCTCCCGACGGAGAGAACGCGGACGAGGGAAAAGAGGGACGAGCCCATGCATCGCGTGGCACTAAGGAATGTCCGAGGGAGGCTCCTCGGCCACTCTCGCCGTCCCGTAGGTGCGCCGGGCACTCAGCCGTGGTACAGCCCATAGCGGTGTCTACGGTGGTGGTCGGGAAGCACTGCGCATTCCGTCCGAGAGGGAGGTTGACACAGACAACAGGGAACGCCCCTGTTGACCATCACCATCGTACCCCGTGGTACTTCCCGCTGGCCGGGATTCCTTGCAACCTTCTCTGCCCACCACCGATCGATCACACGTGTGCGGCGACACCAGACCACGCCGAGTTGCGAATCGAAGGAATTGGTGCTAAATGTTCCATGGGAATTGTACGGCCTGCGTCACCGGGGCTAGAACAATATCCGGCAGCAGGGGCAGCAGGCACCACAGAAGAATGCGATGTCGATTTGTCAGCGTCAGTAGAATCTATGGGTCACGACGGAGAACAGCGGGAAAGGCAACACGTGTCATGCTCAGACGAGGCGAACGTGTCGAAGGAAAACCATCCTGCAACTGGTCTCAAGGACTTCACCCCGGCAAGCAAAAACAGATCACCGTCGTCATCGCCGCAGCAGTCCCGGACAATCACGGACATCGACCAACGCGTTACTGCTACTGCTCGTGATAGCTTCGGCCGAGCCCATGCCCAGAGTACCAGTGCCGATACCCACGGTGACACAACCGAACATGTGTCCACCAGCACGGGTGACGCAGCTGGTCGAAAGACTGCATCCGCTGGGCCGCTCTGGCTGTCGTCTGCGACTACTATTGAGAGGGCAATAGTTTCCGAAACCGCCTTGCACGGAAGGCCCGGCGGAGATCAACAACTTCAAGACGCGCTCCGTGGGGTTATCGATGGCGTATGCAGCTTGTCGCTCAGGAGATCGCTCTCTTGGCCCGGCCGAGAAAAGGAGGCCACTTCTACCAGCGCAATTCAGATCAACCCTGGTCGGCAAAAATTAGGTACCACCGCCGTTCAGGAGCATTTTTCCGAGAGAGGGGGTGGTGGATTCAGCGATTCCGTCGGCGGTGAAGCCAAACAACCCCGCGTCCCCTGGAGCGCCAACGAGGTGCTGCTATACGTGCGAGATCCTTCGGAGGAAGAGCCAGAGTTTTGCAACGGACGGCTGTGCCGACGGCGGCGAGAAGAGGGAGGTGGAGGGGGACAGAGAGGAGGGGGACAGAGAGGAGGGGTGCATGACGCAGGAAACGACGGAGAATCAGCAGCACAAGCTATAGCGGTTGCAGGAATAGGAGAATCGTGGGGAGGAGGAAGTCCGGGAGGGGTTGCGGGAAGTTCCGGACAAGTTGTTGGAGGTAATCGACTGTCTATGGGAACGCCCTTTTCCAGGTAAATAGGTTTTGCTCATTGCAGCCTTGTTGTGTCGCGTCATGCGAGATGGCCACCTGTGAATGGTGAAGAGGCTACACCAAGAACTTTTCGTTGTCAGCGATAAGGAAGCAGGAGGTGGGCCGAAAATTCATTGGGTCTCGCGTTTCAGCTTTGAGATGCTCTCGCATATCTTCTCATGCGAGACACACATAACGAGCGTCGGGTCAGCACCGCTCCACCAGTGTGATGGGCAAGAACGTTTCGAAAAAAACGTGTGCCGATACCGTGCGCTCCAACGTTTCCTTGCTTCCATCTGCCCGAGCCATTTCTACAGCTTTGGAAATATTTTTCAATTTTATAATACGCTTCGCCGATCCTTGTGGATGTTCGCTTGTTTGGTGGGGTTGTCGGGCGGGCAGGTACCTCGAATGGCACAACTACGAGCGAAACAGGTCATTGAAACCCCAACCTGAGATTCCGCGGCCAGACAAAACGCTCCGCGATACAAGCCCCCGGCAACCTCTGTACTCTACGCCTTACCAGCATGCCCCGCACAACCCGCAGGTGAGGATCGCTGGTAATGCTAGAAACATATCCTCGATACAAATACAATGGTTGAGTTGATAGATAATCTGGGTATCAAATCCTGAGCAATGTCGAGGTTGTCTTGTTTCGAGCTGATTTGTGGGACCAACAGAGTTTTCTTGGTTCTGCAAGTTGATTGGAGCTTGAACCAACGCTAGCTTGGCGGCAAATGATCATGCTATAATAATGTATTGCCATGAGAGCGGCTACGATGCTGAGTCGGAGGTCGCGTTGACCCCGCTATTCCGCGTCGCCGACCCCTTGTCTCTTCCCATCCCTCCAGACCTGCAGTCCCGGTTTCTTGTCAACGGTATCGGTTGATGTTTCCCCTCATGTGATCAAACATGCAAACGCACGCAGGCCTTCTTGCACTCGGTATTGGCGGGCGTGTCTCGAAAGAGGACTGAGAGCAAGGAAAGTCCTCAAATTGGGGAGCCGGCGGAGGATCATGAAGAGGGGCAGACAGGCCCTACAGAGTATAGGCTTTTGTCGAGGTCGGGTTATCAGTAGGTTCGGCGGCACAACATCAGGCACAGCACAGCTCTCAGGCCGACCTCGAAAGTCGCCAACCTCTGGTCACGACATTGAGGAGTCCAGGCGTAGCAGGCGAAGTGCTTCTGGCTGAATCGAACTCGTACATGCAGGCTTACTGCAAAAGGTCGCGACTTGGACGTTTTCGCGGTGACCGTGCATATTCTGCGTGACCGCATTGGTTTCGTCCCCCTACTCGTGGTACATTGGTGTTAATCTTTAGTCATGGTCAACTCGTTCCCCCTTATCTTGTTTGATGCCTTCAATGTTCCCTGTTTCAAAGCACCTCAACTACGACGAAGCGGTCACAGCTTGAAATCAAGTTTTATGCAGAGAGATATAATCGGTATCGCTTGCCAATGACGTCTGTCTGCTCGATCATGTCTTCAGCATACCGTAAGCATTGCTCAAACCGGTTTCCACTATCGTATCGGCCGATAGCGTGCCCGTCACCATTCCTCTCCACCGATCTTGTTGGTGTCTAGTTGGCAAGCATCTCAGTGATCACCGGTACCGCAGTCTATAATTTCCTCTGCCAGATCGTGCTGTGCCATTCTGCTGTCGAGAGACAGTTCACCTTCCGATGAGGCTTCTTCGAACGAGGAATCGCTTCCTCGTTTCTGCAAGGAAGCAAACCCCTCTTCTGTCTCCGTCGAAACGTGGCTGCTGACAAGGCTGCCGTTGGGCAACCGGTCGAAATGTTTGTTGTCTCCTATTTTTCCAGACTCCTGCTCCACCAGGGGCAACGTGGAGTTTTCCAATTGGCTCGGCACTCCGTGTACTTGCCGACTCTTTGCTTTAGACGATGGTGTCTCGTAGAAAGAACGTCGTCCACCCCCCCCGACAACCCCTGCGCCGGTCTCTGCATTCTCCCGCCTATTTCCGCCACTGATGGTGCCATGGCCGAAGCTGGCGTTGGTAGGAATGTTTCGCGGCACGTCGCCCTCACCCTCTTCAAAGCTGGAAGCGAATCCGGCCGCAAGTTCTTCGTCGTGGTTGGGTGATCCCGTCGAAGGTCCGAGCATCGCACGCACGGTGTTGTGCCTTGCTACCTGAACCGGGCGCTCTCCTCTATTGTTGATGGCCCCACGACTTGCCCCAAGACGCAGGAGTATTTCTACGGCCCACTCCCTCCCGTGAAAGGCCGCCATATGGAGAGGCGTGTCCCCGTTCGAGGTAGTCGCCTGCCGTCCCGGGGTACAGGAGAAACATCATCGAGGGAAGATAGTAAAGTGCACCTGCCACATGCATTTTGTTTCCGTAGGACAGGGCGGTGGTGTGACCATGTTTTGTGTGCCCAACGACCGTGTGAGTGAACCACATTGTTTAGCGAATTTAGAGGTGTTCAACTATGTACACACCTCCATATTGATCAATGCTGGCTGGTGATGGCCGGAAAGGAGCGCGAAGGCCACGTCCTCGCGGCCGTTCGCGATCGACGTGTGCAAAGCGGTCCATCCGTTGTTGTCGTAGGCATTGACGTCGGCGCCGGCCATGAGCAGCAATTCCACCACCTTCACACATACGAGGTGAGGCTCGATGTTGAACGAGGGGTTTAATGGTCTTGAAATAAAATAGTGGAGTTAGTTGTGGATTTCGTTGCGTACACCAAGCATGTTGTAAGTACTGCACGTGCATAAAACATTGTTGGCAGCGTACTGGTTGTCGCCTCATCCCATCCTTGTTTTTGAGGAGGCAGTGTACCACAGGCCTACATACTCAGCGTTGACTGAGTGTCCGAGGGGATTAGCCCTCTTGATCGAACAACAACCAACCACAGAGATGAATGATGTATCCGTAACATGTGTACCTGAGCATGGCCGTACCGAGCAGCCTTCAGGAGCCCGCTGTCCCCTAGTATGTCTCGCTGCTCCAACTCTGCACCTTGCCGTACCAGAGAGCGTAAAATTTCGATATCGCCACTCCTAGCTGCTAAAAGGAGGCCGACTCCAGATGCATCCTGGTCGACAGGCATGGCTGCGTGTACGAAAAAGATTCGAATCCACTTGTGAATCCACTAGTGTACCAGCGATCTCCTGATGACGATAGATACGGTCGGCGGCAGACCCAAGTTGGCAGACAACCCACGATATTCGCACCCAACCGCCTTTCCTGAACAGAACCGCGACGGTTGGCGATGCGTGCTTTATATCACCTGCCACTATTGTTCAAGAGCGACGCACAACCCCGTCAGAGGCGGACGGTCCTGCGCTCGGCCAGAGGAAGTGCGGCACGGGGGGGGTCGGCGGCTAGGAAAGATTTCCCACGGGGGCGACGCAGACAGATATTACCGTGTAGGCGTCAATGGCCATATGTCGCCGGGGTTCTACGGGGTTCCCGACACCGATGGCGTCGTCGAATGTGTTGGGAGAAAGTGGCTTCGCCTTGCCACACACACGGGGCAGCCGCCATGCCCCCCACGCTGGCGGAGGATGGTCAGCAGCAGCGTAAGAACTCGCGCAAAATCAAACGTTTGCGGGATGCATCCTGCATGAGGACACGGGAGACAGCGCAGGTGAGTGTATAAATGTGTGTGTACGCGTGTCGACAAATGGGCGACGAACCAACCGATTTCTAATGCTCGAATTGGCATTGCTGGTCCTGACTGAACGCTGTGGCGCACGTAGCACGCACGTTGTGTGCCACGCCTCTCCCCGCGCTTCCGTATGTTTTTGGCTTGTCCCCGGAAGCCTTGGGGGCCTTGTATGCCGCGAAGAATGATCGAGCGCGGAGTATCGTGCTGCTGCGGTGGACGAAGTAAACTGATTCAGGATGTATTGGCGTTGGTCGTTTCCCTCAACCATGATATGCATGTCCTTAACTACAGTACAAATCACTGCTGCAACTCATGCAGCGTCCCCCACCCTCCCCTAGTCTTCAGAAAGTCCCTTGTGTTACCATCCTCGCACTCCTTACGTCGTGTTGCGATTTTTCTTGGTCGTTGCTGTGGGTTGGTTGCCCTTGTTCAAACAAAGCCGTGTTATAATTTCCCGACACGCACGCGTGTGAGCGAGCAAACATCGGGAGCTCATCAGACAGGCGAGCACCTTTCGTCCCGAGTCGAATCCACCTACAACAATCGCCCAGCACATGCACATCTCTCGCCAGAGCTGCAAATACCGACCGCGAGAGCGGCTCGTCTCTGTTGGACGTTCACAACATTCGCTGTGCTATGTACGACACCGTAACCGGGTGTGAGTTTAAATCAGCGGCGTTCATGTTTGGCTGGCGCTCTTGTCGGAAGAATATCCTACAGTAGTGTAGATGCCCGAGAAAACTACACGGCGATTGTACCGGTGACACGGCTTGGCGGAGTAATCGGCCCTGGCGTTCGCCCAACCCGCTTTCCCAATTTGTGCCCATTTCGCTGAAACCGTGCAAGCTGTTTTTTTTTGTTTCCACTACGGCGGTAATGTCTCTCACGACAAAGCGTTCCTCTGCTTATTCCTCAACCGTTCCCCGGCGCAATGTGCACGTCTCTTCGTGCTTTGTTTCCCATCTCTCGTCTCCGCAGGACCGTTGGGGGCGGCAGCGCGGTGGGAGAAAGGCGCGATGGGACAAGTGGGACAGACAGCCCTCCGCCTTCAAGAGCCGCCTGCGGTCAGGAAATTTCGCCGCCGCTGCTGCCGGCGGCGGCGGCGTCGGCCTCGGCGGCGGGGTTGTTGACGAGGACGCTGTCCTCGACGCCGCAGAGGAGGCGTTCGCCTTCGTTGACGCCGCCACAATGAAGGCGGCTGCAGCTGCCACCGCCGCTAACGCTGTCCTTGGTTCCGAAGGAACCTCCAGCGATGAGGGCGTCGGTGGGGGTGCTGGCGCCGAGGGAGACTCGGATGCTGCCACCGGTGTCCCGGCTTGCTCCGTCGCTGTCGTGGACGGTGGGCGTGTCACCGGCGGGGGTGACGTCCCCCCTGAAGCCGCCGCTGGAGACGGCGCGCACACGCCGTCCCCGACGAGACGAGCGCTGCAGCGACAAGAGGAGTCGCCGCCGAGCACGACGACGCCGGAACCGGCGGCGACGGCGGCGCCGGCCGTCCTTGACGCGGGTGGATGCACCGACGATGCCGTTGCGGCCTCACCGGCGCCGGCAACCACGGCAACAGTCGTATCAACACCCTCTTCGGCCCGTAGTATTGCTAATGGTGTGGGCGGCAGCGGCGGCAGCGGCGGCGGTGTTAGTGGTAGTAGGTCGAAGACCGTCGGCAGCGGGGGCCGCCGGTCATCTCTGAGATCGCCTGGCGGTCTTTCTCGCGCCGGGTCTAAGGGTAGCGGCGTCGGCGGCGGGCTTGGAAGCGGGAGCTATCGCGGGAGCCCTCCCCCTCTCCACCGTAGGCTTAGCTCGCCGGCAGGGGTTGGCAGCGGCAAGAAGGGCCAGAGACAACGTCAGGTAGGGGGGTCGACGGCTGTGGGAGTGGGGGCTCGAGGGTTGGGAAGCGCCAAGAAGAAAAAGCAGGCGTCGGGGAGCGATGCGGGGCGGCAGGGGCGTGCGGAAGAGGAGGAGGTAGCCGCGGCGACCCCGCCTCCCCCCCCGAGCCTGTTCGAGAGCGTGTTCAAGGACAAGTTACCCAGCCTGACGCCGAGAAAAGCACCTCCAGCCACGCCGCGGTACGTGTTTCATGTATTTTTGGTCGACGGGGGGAAGGGGGGGGGGGGGGGGTACTCTACTGTTTTGCGTGCCACAGCGGTTAGACCAATGACCACACGTCCTCGAAGGGACGGAGCATTGTTCCCACAGGACCGATCACCGATGGCCAATCATTCCTTCCTGTTCTGCCAAAAGTGACTAAATAAAAATCGTCCCTAGTCTATATATTTTATTGATATCACTTCCTGCCTTTTCAACCCACTTCTTATGCCCTACCGCTATCCTTTCTTGATTACTCCATCCCTTGAAGGTTTTTGGCAGGGGGGGGGGGGGAACCCGGAACACACGAGGGTTTGGACTGGTTTGCCAGCGAGAGATTCCGACGTCTGTTTTTTTTCGGGTGAATGTTGGTTCTCGATGATGGAGTGAACCTCCAGGGTCAAGGTACCCTTTCGTGTGTTCAAGCAATTCTTTTTTTTTTTTTTGGGGGGGTGCTGAAATTGTTGGCTCAGCAATGGCTTCAAGGTCTCTTTTTTTATGTTGCCCCGGTTCGCACGCCTCCGCGCTCACAGTACGTTCCCAAACCCCTAGCGTACGCGCTACAATACCGCCGCCCTTCTCTCCCTTATGGCTTTCGACACCCGAACTAGCACGTCCTCGCCCCCCCCTCATGTTTACCAACGTCTTTTGGCGTAACGAAGAAAAGGGCTCGAATTTTTCATCACCAGTTACGCCCAGCCGCTAACACACACAGACCCCCCTCCCCCCCCCGCCTCTTAAAATCAAGCCGCTCTTCAGTTTTTCATCCTCAATCCGCGTCGATGTTGATCTTGCGACAGGCTCAGCCGGGATTCGATCGTTCACGCCATCTTTCAGTCCCTCTTCGGCAAGCGCAAGGTGAGGAGCGGCCCCCGCGAGCGCTACGGTGGGGACTGGGACGACGTTGACGACGACGACGATGACGAGATGGAGGCCGACGAGGACGAGGTGGACGAGTCGTGGATCAAGACCGGCATCAACCTCACCCTCTTCAACTCGCAGGCTGTGGACTTCGCGTGCAGGTCAGTATAGATTGCAGCGGGAGAAAAGGTGGCTGTGGTTGTAGAGACATGGTGTTTACGCGTGTAGTAGTCGTGAAGTGTAGAGTTTAAGCGTAGCGGGGTGACTGTGAAGACTTCGTGTTTATGTGTACATAGGTCGCATGTGTAAAGTTCAAGCGTCCATGTAGCGGGGTTCTGACGCGCCAAGGATGAATCAAAGAAGAGCCTAGAGCTAGCCTCGCTGGGCCAGATCGATTTATTTTTGTTACAATCTTTCGGGAGTCTGTACCAAACAACCACGAGGAGAACGTCTAGGCGTCTGGCCGAGCCCATCAATCCACGGAGTAGCCCGCAGGGTCCGACAATGCAAGTGGTCCCGCTTAGACCTAGCTGAGACCGGCACCCTGCTGCGGTTTTTCCTCGGCCCTAACCGGTCTTGACTTGTCTACGTAGACTGGCTCTCTTGTTCTGTGAGGTCGTGTTGCATGGACCGTGCCGTGCCCGGCCCCTCAACTTGCGATGCCTCGTGATTGGTGTCAGGAGCACGGCCGGGGCTGACCTACTGCACCAGTACGTGGACAGCAACGCCGTGTTCCGCCTGGTGACTGACCTCCGCTTCGAAGACCCGAGAGTTCCTAGCCCGCGCCTGATGATCATCAAGGTTAGTTATTAACTTGGCGGAGTTTTGATGGAAGTACATATGTAGTTTTTTTCGCGAAGGTCTCCCCCCCGGCGTGCTCTGTCCCTTCTTTGTAGGGATTCGAGGTCAATGGTCTAACGACTACGGCATACACGGCAATGCGTACACACCGCGCTCTCTGTTTTGCGGCGGTTAATCAAAACGCAAGACGATAGTGCATGGTGTGCCCATTTCTATGGCCAAGATGACCATGGACCATGATAGGAAAAGGAGGTTCTGTCTTGTACGCGTTTGCCACTTTACCTTCTAGAATCTAGCCTGTTACTCCCTAGAAAGCAGTCCTTAAATCGCCCACGCAAGGATTGCCGATTCATTGTAATTCTAACACGATTTTTCCCAGCATGTGTGTCCTGACCAGTCGTCACAACATGAGCAGCACAACAACATGATGCATGCATACATCACCTGCTTACGTTTGCCTAGGTTGGATGCGTCCATTATTTTGACCCCCGGCCTCCGCCGTCCTTCCGCGTAATCCCGACTGCTCAGGCTGTGTACGAAAACTGCGCGCACTTGCGACTGCTCACCCTCCGCGCTTTGGCGCACGCCTCTCACGACCATCTCATGAGAACCCGCGAGCTTGAGGATTGGGCCGCGAGGGTGGGCGTCGACATTGCGGAGGCTGCCGCCGCCGCGGTGGCCGACGGGATTTCTGGAAGAAGCGGTGCCGGGGGCGGGGCAGGGGGGGGCAGGGCTCGTGTGACCGGTCGGGACCAGTCGCAGACGCTGGGCGAGCTGCTGCTCTTCGTCCTCCAAACGTTCCCGAGATTTTTCCTGGGAATGGTCCCCGTCGACGAGGCAGGCGGGCAGCAGCAAGGGGTTTGGCACCACGGCGACCCCGGAGCTACCTTCAGCGGGGATGGCAGCGGGTACGGGTGCGTAGAAGATTGTGGTGTTGCCGCCCAGGCGGCAGAAGGGTGTGCCGACGTCGGCGGCGTGGACGTCCACGCCGGTGTGTGCGGGGGAAATGCTTCTTCCTCGGGTGAGAGCGCGGGAGAGGAGCCGCAGCTGCAGACGACCGTTGTCGTCACAGGCGACAACAGCAGTAGTGGTGCGTTGGACCCTCCGTTCGACGCATCTTCGCTAGATGCGGCGACGGCAGCGGCGGCCCAGTGCCGTTCGCCGACGCCAACACCAAACCAGCCACCGCAACCGCACCCACCACCACCACCGCCGGTGGCAGGATTTGTGTCACCTTCCCAAGCCTGGGGCAGCAACGGTCCTGGCATCGGTAGCCCCAGCAGCGCTGAGATAACAGAAAACAGACGCGCCGCCGGCGATCAAGAGGACGGCCCCGCCGCCGCCGCAGCAGCAGACGGCGGTGACCAATGTAAGAGCGGCTGCGATGGTTGCGATGACAACGATGGTGCAAGCTTGGGAGAAGAGGGAGGGTTGGTCGGGTCGCCAGGCGGGGGAGGGGCGGGAGCGGGAGGCGGCCCCACCGCCCGGAACGCCGCCAGCTCCGGTGGAGACCCGGCGCCGGCTTCCGAACGGTGCGCGCTGGCGTGGCCCAGCTTGGCGTCGGGCTCGCCCTCACCCGCCACCGGACAGCGCCAAAACGAGGAGGGCGTCGGGAACAAGCAGGAGCCCCCATGGTCCCCGGCATGGGCAACCGCTGGGGTACGGAGCATTGAAGATGTTCCACTGGAGGAGGGGGCGGGATTGGCGGTGAACCGCGGCAGCTGCGGCGACGGTGTTTGGGGCCAGGGAATGGCGAGCAAGGACCTGGCTTGGGAATCGGAGGCGGGGCTGGGGGAGGAGGTCGGCGGCGACTTGAGGACGGCGACGGACGGGGTTGCCGGCGCCGCCCGCGCCTTGCGCTTCACGGCGCAGGAGGAGGACGTCGGCGGTGATGCGGAAGTGACCGGGGACGCCGGCAACTGGCTCGCGTCGGGGCGGGAGTGTTCGCGAGAATCCCCCGTTGCTTCTGCTGGCGCAGCACTAGCGGGGGATCCCTTCGAGTCGGGGGCGGGAAGGTTGGGGCTTGACGAATGGCCCACTGCCCAGGAGGCGAAGTCGAGCACGCCAGAGAAGATATCGGCGGTGGAACCCGTCGAGCGAATGGACGGCGCGTCGGTGTCCGGGTCACGCGGAGACGCCACGGGAGGCCAAGAGGCAGGCACGCAGCAGCCACTGCCTTCGGCGACCGGCTGCACCGCCGCAGGCGGCGGTGGGCTTGCGCTTGAGCTCGACCTGCCCGCCGTGGCGCTGAAGGAAGCCACCCGCTCGCTCTGCAACCTGTACGCCAGCCACGGCGCGCCGGCCGCAGGGGCAGAAGCGGCAGCGTCCGCGGACGCCCCAGAGCGGCTGCAGCCGCTGGCTCTCGCCGGGTCCACCCTGTGCCAGCTCTGGCCGCCGTCATCGGCGCTGCTGCTCCGGCGCCTGCTCGGCACGTGGCCCGCCGGGAGCGCGAGGAGAGAGGTGGCGTACCTGAGGCTGATCGCCGGCGTGGCGTGCGCCGCGCCGCCGCTCGGGGTGGTGTGCCCTGGCTCGCGCCTCCCGCTCATGCTGTTCCGCCGGCTTGCCAAGTGCATCAACAGCTCGAACACTAAGGTGACGAGCTTTGTTGTTGGGATGTTTGTCGTGAGGGGGCATGGTTTTGCCGTCATCCATGACCGTGTATGATGTTGCCGGTCGCCCGCGTCAGGTAGGAGAGAAGCAAAAATGATGTGGATGGTGGGGGCCCGGCGCGGGTGGAGTGGGGTACGGAGAGCACGAGCAACTGCTGTTGCATAGAGCGGCACGTTTACCTGCGAGTTTGTTGACGTTATTTGTGACGGTCTGGATGTTTGACGAAGGCCATCTTGTCGCCGTGCCTCTTTTTGCCCGTTTTTGTCACGCGAGCGATCACCTGTTCCCCCGTTCCGTTCCTCAAGTGCTTCCTTGGCGATCGACCCCCTCGCTGTTCTGACTCCACGAGTTTCGACGAAGCTATTTCACGGCTATTCGTAGGATGTTTTTGACGACTTGGCATCGACCACCCGCTGTTCGGCTTCCCTCCAACGTGTGCGCTGGTGCTGGTTTTCGTGTTACAGTCACACGTTGGCAATGTCCTCCTTCCGTTAATCGGTAACATGCCCACGAACGGAGCAATTCGAAACACCGCCCCACAACTATCGACTTCCCCCAAAACGCTTGTCTTGTGTTTTTTTTCAGGTGGCGCAGGAGGCGGCGTTCCTTGTCCAGGCGGACTTCATCCTGATGGTATACCTCGCTCCGGACCGGCGTCTCATGGACCTCGTGACGAACGCGCTGTGCGCGAACCGCGAGCACTGGAGCGCGGACGTGCGCAACGCGTCCGACCAGACGTTTGACCTCATGCTTGACTTCCTCTGACGTCGTCACGGCTTGCCCCGTGGGTTTGCAAGGCTCCTTTGTGACGGGTTGGGGGTTATCGAAGCCGTGCGAGGGGCGCACGGTCTTTCTTGCCTCTTCCTCATGCCGTCGATTCTGCTTTGGAAGGCCAACGTTGTTGTTTCTATTGTTGCCCTGCACCGACAGCTTCGTCCGTCATTGTAGTGGCTCATGCCTGTGAGCGGTTCGAGGCTGTGTGCCGTATTCAATGGTCGCAGTTCGGAGCGACCATTTCTTCCCTGGCGAGGGTCGTTGTGTGGCCTCTGGTGCATCGGAGCACTAAAAGCTGGAGAAAATATTCACACCCTGTGAATTTCGTCGGTACTTGTGTTGTGTTGACTACTACGCTTGAAATGGCGAGAATCTGACGGGGGTAGGGTTGGCAGACGTTTGCAAGCACATCGCCAGGCTCCTCTAGCGTTGTAGGTAGGTGCGTTGTAGGAATGTTTTCCTTTCTGTGTTGTGCTCTCTCAGGCAGCGTGCGGCCTTGAAAGGTGTCCCACCCTTGTGCGCTGGAACGGCGTTCGTTTGCGTGCTGTCGCAAATCCCGTGAGTTTTTTTTAACCCGTTGGATTCCTTTCGGGGCACGCTGCCGTTCGTCCGTGCTGGCTTAGCATTGGATGCCCGAGAGGCGTGTTATTTTCAACGTGAAGCGTCGGGATTCGGGATAGGACCAATTCTTTTTGGTAGACAGAATCTGCCACGAAGTTATTCTTTGTGAGGGTTCCGACTAGTTCAGCATGGACGGGAATGGAGCCGACGAAGTGGCATGTACGCGTGTTCGAATGGGCGTGTGTTCGACTTGACGGAAGTCTCGTTTCGTACCCCTATCTCCCGTGTGTGTAGCGAAAAGCTGTGCAGCAGCTTTCTCGCAGCGGCCTTGACGTATCGACGTAGAATTTTCCCCCAAGTAACAAAAGTTCTTCTGTTGGAGAGTTTGTTGAAAGATGAAGACAACGGTATTCTGGTGGGTCTCTTTGATGTGCTGCAAACCATCCGCACGTTTTCATGCGCGTAGTTGTTGGTGCCGTTTGGATCGTGATTAGTGTGAGGTGGTCGATTCTCCCTGGACGTCTTGAGCTGCTTTCATTGTTGTGTTGGACCGAACAACCCTTTTGTTTTGGTAGTGCAACATGCACGTGCATTGTACGAGTTGAAGGGATAAATACTGACAGGGGGGTTAGACCGGGGCGGTAACACTGAGGGGGGGGGGGGGGGGGGGGGGGGGGGTGTCCCCCTTAACGGAGAACTTCCCTGGAAAAAAAAAAACCTCGAAA